TGGTGGTGGACCCTGACTAACACCTGGAGCTGTGTGGTGGGTCCTGACTAATACCTGGAGCTGCATGGTGGTGGACCCTGACTAACAGCTGGAGCTGGTCGCTGGCTGCTGACTGATGCTCAGAAATAAACAGGAACTTTCTTATACTTATACTTATATCTTATATTCTTATAGTTCTTATATTTATATGTACATTTTTTATTTTTTATTTTTTCCTGTCTCGTATATGTGTACCTCTGTTGAATGCTGCTATCAACGATGTGAATTTCTCCACTGTGAGATAAATAAAGGCATATCTTATCTTATCTTATCTTAACTGCTGGAGAAGATTTGGGCTGCAGCTAATACCTGGAAGGTCTTGCTCACCACATGGCAGGCAGCTGGTGCTTGTGTGGAGGGTCCTGGCTGATTCCCGGCAGGGCTTTCAACAGATTCCTGCAGATTCAGGCCCAGTCTGGTTTTTGTTGTTCCTAAAACCAGCACTGTGTTGGAACTGGGACCAGTGAGGAGCTGCTTCTCTGAGCTTCAGGCTGGAAACCAGTGAAGCTCCAGCACTAAACTGGTCACTGTCGCCCCCCAGTGGCTCCACGTTTACCTGCAGCAGCTGTACGGAGGCTCAAAGTGTCCAAAATGTATTGAAACAAGAGATCAATAATAAATGAATTCATTTCATAAGTTGCTAAAAAAGAGTCAATATTGTCTGAAAGAAATGTGTGAATGCAACGTGTTGCACGTATTATGTGACTAAATTGTTATTTTCACGACAACAGAATTCACTTTTATTATTTCTTAAAATGTTTAATGTTGTGTTTTATTTAAATGTTGTTTCATGAAAAAGCTTTATTATTGTTATTGTTGTTATTTGTCTTTTGTAAACAATCGCAGCTTTCATTTCATGAAGTAATTTTAATTCATTTTAATAAAACATTTAATAAATAAATAAGTAACAGGGTCATTTATTGCATTCACAGGACAATATGTTTTAAAGAACTTGTACAAATGACGTGTTTGTCGTGAAGCCATTTTTATTTCATGTTGTGCTGTTTTCAGAAATTCTTTAATTAAAAAGTTCCGTTTATTTGTTATAAAATGGATTCAGGGAACTAATAAAGAACTGATCTTCAGTTTAAATTACTTACATGTGGCTTAAGTTTCACCCACGATGAACGCTGAAAACAACAACAACAAAAAATATGATTACAGTTTTTTTAGCTTCCATTTTGGTATTTTTTTATGTTAAGCAAAATATGTACATGTGTGAAAGCAATGAAATACAGACGTGGACAAATTAATTGGTACACGTCGGTTAATGAAAGAAAAACCCACAACGGTCACAGAAATAACTGGAATCTGACAAAAGTAATAATAAATAAAAATCCTATGAAAATGAACCAGTGAAGATCAGACGTTACTTTTGAACCGCGGTTCAACAGAATTACTTAAAACATAAACTCATGAAACAGGTCTGGACTAAATGATGGTCCCCCCAGAAAAGACTGAACATAATGTGACCACAGGGACACGTTCAATCAAGGTGTGTCCTCTAATCAGCATCACAGGTGTCTACAGACGTGTAACCAGTCAGTGGGCCTGTTTATAGGGTTACAGGTGGTCACTGTGCTG